GTCATAGCCATTGGAGAATAGAGCTGTTTCTCGCACTGACTTTCGAAAGATGCATAGAAATAGATGGTGTAAATCACCAATCTGTGAAAAAGATTGCGTGCACACATACTGTTGGTTCGCTAATCGGTATGGTGTGGCTAACAAGAGGTGACGACGGTATAGTTTCCGGTCCACTGGCGGATCGGTCGTACATAGTGTGCATATTCTCATGGCAACCGAACTGCTGGACAAGTATTTGTTCTGGAGGTATCAAGTGTTGTATGCCCGTGTTGTGTTGTGTGGTGGCCGAGCTATGGGGTTACGCCTGCACTGCGCCTGCCAGACTACGCGATAGGGAGAAGACAGAGAACTGGGGCCACGGCTGTATTGCCAGGACAAAACGTACAGAGCCTCTGCGTAAATATATAGGATGACTAAACGGCCAAATAGGCTCGCCCCCGCCAATGGTGGTGTTCCGGTCGTGACCACTCTCAGGCCCACTACGCTGGTCGTGTGTTGCTAGGCCGTGTTCGGTGGGAGCCGCCAACTCACCTACTTTCCGGAAGTGTCGAACCGATGGTGACCTTGGGGATGTGTCACTCTCTGCACATGTGCTTTTTCTTCTGTCTGGGCACGCCCTGACAGCCCGAAGAAAAACGGTTGAGCTAGGCTGTACTGTCCCAATCTAGCCAGGCTGTCAGCCAGACAACGTGCAAGTTTTCACGTGAAAAACCATAGATAACATTTTGCCGCTAAGCGATTCTTCAGTACGAAAATGAAATTGGCCCAAACATCCTAATTTAGGTGCGTATGCAAAAGTTCCGCACACACTTCATCCGCTTATAGGCAAACACCCCATGATTGAGATATCGACGAACTTCTCCACTTATATTATGTCCTCGCAAGAACATGCACAGCGCTCCATCCACGAGCAACGTGTCCATAACGACGAAACTCCCACTAATCGCACTTTTAACTGGTTTGCTTGTTTGTCAAATCTACCTTCACGCTCTGTTGGAAAAGGGTGGTAAGGAGTTTTGAAACCTCACTCAGAATGAATTGGCGTCAACTCGTGATCTGCTTTCAGGTCATCCGGAGCCACGTTTGGGAGTGTCAAGTACCGGGCTGCTTTGATCATTAGGCTGAGGTGATGTGTGCTTGTTCATTCGGGCACGAAATCTCAAGTTCGCGAAGCGAATTGGACTCAGCCCCCAGCTCGTCTACCGCGAAACCTCATATCGGTTGGGGTAGTTGTTATGACAGGACAAAACATGTCCATGACCCATCATAGTTCCTGCAACCGTCTGCACCACCCCACAATCGCCACGGCGGCAGGATTGGGTACAAGTGACCAACTTGTGCAACAGCAAGTCCCAACTTGCCCTCCAGAACCACGGAACATCACAGTAATCGAAATGTTCCACTATTATACGGCTAAGACATCATGAACAAGATACATGAATTGAATGAAATAAGGTAGTGTCGAGATATCAGCTATGAGAGGCTGGTTACAGCTTCGACTTGCTGTTCATCATCTGTCAGATGAGGCCAGTGGGACCTAATGCTTAATATTGTCTTGTGATTCAGCCCCAGTGCTCTACATGTGCACTTAAGCGAATCTGTCTTGTGATTCAGCCCCAGAAATCAACAAGATGTATCCCTGACTGTTGTAAGTCCAGTGCTCTACATGTGCACTTAAGCGAATGGAAGGAGTGGGCGTTAGCGAAAGCACGGAATTCAGAGCTGTTTGGCATACAATCCTCGTGTTGCTGTTGTCGGGCTCTTCCGGCCCGGTCCTGTAAATTGACAGAGTAAACGGCGCAGTGGAATTATTTTTTTGTGAATGTACGGACACAAATCGGCTTGCTAAATCAACAGTTGCATGCTCGACTTGCACTAGAAACTAAATCGTTTACGCCAGATTACGTTGCCCTCTGTCAACGTGCGTGAATTACAGTTTCCAGAGAGTATACTCTTTGCAACCCCAGGATGTGGCACTGATCCAGTTCGCAGACGCCTTATTATCGTTAACAGTACGAGTGCCGCGTGTTTACGTAATGAACATTGTTTAACCTTTTGTAAGAATAATAGTTAATCACAGGCAATCAGCTAAAATTCAGGCTAATTCCGGTTAGGCATAGGATGGCTATGTTGGTCATCGAATCATTTATGAGCTTGCTTTGTGCAGCAGGTGTTTCAGTCTATTTGGAGGTTCTGAGATGCTCTGATTAGTGTCGATATCAGGTGATGCCGTCAGTACCTAGGAAAAGCGGTTCGTTTATGCACCGCTTAGATGTAGGATATTTCTGCTACTGTAAACTTCCTTCCTGTTATTGTAAATCCATCTAAAAAAATTCAATGAGTGACTGACGCGCAAACATACCACTAACAGACTTGAAGGAAGACATTAGCCAATATACACTCATTTGCAAACTAATTTGGTTTTTCGAAAGACTCACATGATGAGCCCCAAAAAGGGCGAAACCGGTCGTGGGCTGTCGACGGATTTTCAGCAACCTTATGAGTAGTACATTACAAAGACGTTAGCTGCTTTCGCTTTGAATAGTTTCCACAGAATGCTAGAGGGCTGACATAAGAACCGAAATCCAGTGTTTGCTGTTTTCTCGGCGGAGCACAATACTCGTAAGGTTGCTGAAAACCGATTAGTGCACAGTTTATGGTAGCCATAAGAAAACTCAGAAGGTGTATGCACGAATAACAGTTTTTACTGGGATAGATATTAGTCTACAGTCACTAGTTGTACCATGATAAAATACAGTGCGAACAGTGGAATAAGGCAAAAGGTGACTTGTCGTTTGTGGACAACCCGAGAGTTCCTAGGTGAAAGTCCGGACGGGGGAACGCGTTTTCTCTATGTTCCGTAATTGTCCATGGACTTGTGGAGTTTGGTTGACTTCCTGCCCCTATGAGCGCGCGTACATGCGGTGACTGTGTTGTATTTTCCTATATATAGGAAAGTTTGACCTCTGTATCATACACAGAATCGTTCCGACGCGTACAAGATGGGTACTGACTTGTCGGTTTACGTTGCGAGCGGGACAAGGTTTTGTCACTTGATTTGTGCATCTGCGGAACAAATGAGTAGCGTGATCCAGTGAGCACGGATGTACTAGACAAATTAAGCGAAGTGGGATGAAGGAACAAACCCTTCAACAGCCCACGGCCAGTCTCACTCTTCTTGAGGCTCATAAGTTGGGCTGTTTCCGCGTTCCCGTCAACCTGTGCGAAGCTGCGTGATCCTGCTCGTTGCTAATGTTCTCATTGTGGGAAGCGGTGTTTGGGTGCAGAAACGACTTTTATGGTTAACGGACCGCTTGCGCAGTTTGCGGTCCCGGAGCTTCTAGTAGCAGACAGTAGAGCTTAGCTGACACTCCTCAAGAACTTTAACATTTACGTAGCCCACCCTGTCCGACGCAGTGCAGCGGCTATGGCGAACGCGTGGTTGATACTTCTAAACGGGACTTGTGAAGATGGAAAGCACAGGAAAGGTCTGACTTTGAAGTTGAATAACGTGAAGCACAAAGATCAAGGAGTCAACCAGTGGTCCTCGGGTAGTATCACGTTCCTACACTCCAAGACAATCGCCCGCATTCGTGCAAAAAACTTCCTGGGATGTCGAAAGGAATGGCCCGGGGGAACATCGTTCACTACCATATACTAATATGGCCGAAACGTTCGTGTTTGGCCTTTTCTCCCTGTGACAAGAAATATGGTATACCCATCCAGAAAATCAGGCCCTGGAGATAAGGATATTCCCATTCGCAAAACACTAATTTATGATGCCATCCAGCTACTAGGACGAACGATAAGCGATGAGAAGCTGACTCCAGCTTTCCCTGTAGAACCCTTATAAATGAAGTGAAATAAATGAGTTTCCCGAACTGTCATGTGAATGAATCATCCTGAGCGGACTCCAAGCCGCGATGAAATAGTCAAATCTCAAATGCTGCAGGTCATGCCATCGTCAACGCATGTTACCAGGATGGGTTGAACTGATCAACCGTTAGGGGTAAACGAATTCCCCTGTCTAGGCTTGGGCAACCTGGCAGTACTCCAGCCATTGCGCTTCCCTCAGGTGGCGTGGCACTTAGGCACCGAAAGGGAGATACAGCTGAACGGCAGGCGAACTTTTGGGTTGTCAAGGCATGTCAGAGGTTGAGACATCATAACCACATGCGACAAACTGAACGACTGTGGAGTTACCAAACCAGAGGCAACGGCTGTATAATTTATCAAGCGGTTGCTAACACACGCTGCAAACCAGTGAATACAAAAACGAACACGGCCAACCTACTAATACCGATCATGTCAGTGCGCTGCCGCTACGATGGCTTGCGCCGGGGTGTAGTTGAACTTCACCGACAAAATAACACTAGTTGAGTCAACCAGACTGACAGTGAATTTTACACCACCACAGAGACCATATTCCGTGATATTGTGCAAAAGACTGTGGCCCGAAATCTCAATTCTGTCCCTGATATATCGGTTGATAAGCCCACAGATCTGAACCAACCAAACGATCATTTCAGCGTCGCAGCGATGAAGCCTGAGCTCCTGTTCCATTGATGATAAGCCTCCCCTTATTCTTCTTCTTCACGTTTGAGGTATTCGAGGTTGTTCGCTATGTAGGTGTTATTTTTTGGGTTCCTGACTATCGGAATTCGGGAACCGTGGCCGACTGCACTCCCATGAAAGTTCAGAAAAACCAGGCGACGGAACACAACTTTGCACCATTTTCAGGATTTCGTTCGCTGTCTCACGAGGCACCTGACACAGGAGACGTCAAAGACCCACCCTGCGGTTTGCCACGAAATCAAAAGCTATATCCGCTTACACAGACCCAACTTCTATTTGCGAACGGTAATGGCTTCAGTACTCTGCTGAATACATCAATGCTGTCACAGCATCGACACGATGCTTATTCCCAATCGAACGAGAAGCACCGGTGGGCGGCAACATACGGTTGTATCGGTGAATACGTCTGGACAAGCCTTTCCCATACATTCAATTGCCCTACCTAGTTCTGCGGACTCAGTGAACTCCTTTCTTCCTCGTACTTTTATGATCCATCTTGGTTTATTCACATCTGATCGTCACGAATAAACCTTTCTTGGATTCACCCTTTCCGTGCCTGAAAGTAACTCGGAGTACTGTTCTTATTCGAGGGAGGGTCTCATCGATCAAACCCTTATTCACGAACCACACTACAAAACATACGCTTGACATTTCCAACGTTCCAACAGGGAACATATACTTCCCGACTTGCATCACTATTGTTCACATGTTAAAGAATCACTCCACATCCAAAGGGCGTAACACTAAACTAAGAAACCTCTGTGGATCTGGAAAGAAGGATATGTTAACACATCTAAATGAGCACCGACATACTTCGCTGCGGGTGCGGAACCAGCGGAGTTATCTTCAAAGAACTGCAAGATAGCACTTATAGTTGCTAGACCTATGCGCAAACATCAATCAAACGGGGGAAAGCTGCATAGGTTCTATGGGAACCTTGCCGAGAAATACATCTTGGCGGGCTCACGTTCGATGCTCAACGAATAAAGACAAAATATAGTAGAAAATGTAAATCTTTATTGGTTACAAAAAGCGTGCAAAATTTATAAGTAATACATCCCTGTTATCTGGCTTTCGTGGACACAAAAACGACCGCCCTTGAGAAGCACGCCTGGTTTTTCGAGATCCGAAACCCAATCACGTGCGCGGAAGGCTGCCAAATGGGCATAGTAAGTTGGTGCAGGATAGGATACGCTGCGGGGACAACGCATGTAAGCGTGGCACAAGAAAAATGTGAAGCGCTGCAATGCGTCTGAAGTCCAGTTGCTGTCATCGTATAGCACGTGGTAGTGAGCCGGTTTAGATGTACCCTGGAGAAAAAGAGGGAAATTTGATGTAAATATGATGAAAATAATGCGTAAAATCCAATGACCTGGCAGGAAATCTCTCACCTGAATGCCCTCTTGAGAACAGAGGTAGAAGTCAAATTCACGGGAGTGTGTCACGTGAGTATCGACTACGGTACCCGGGTCAACATTGCGTTGTCTAGAATGAATGGTGTGAATGAGTCAAACGAGGGAGAGGAAACGTACCGAGGATTCATGGGACGAAAACGAATATGGTGGCGCTTCTGTACCACTATGTAAGTGATAGCAGGTTCGTAATCAGGACGGAGAGCAGTGCACGCTCGTTGTATTGATGCGAGCTCTTCCACCAGAACATTTTCGAATTGGCCCTCAGAAACCCCGTCGCGATAAAAGATAAGCCGGGTTGGGAAACGACCATTGGTGTTACGGCAGAAAGCCTGAAAGACAGAATATCACTGACCGGTCAGTTTTGGTCAAGCGACACCTATGAAAACATGGAAACCGGTTACGGAGCGGTCACAAAATTAACGACACTCCGATAAATAGACCATGCGTGCATAAATACATGCTCTGATGAAGCTGTTTTGGTCAAGCACACCTATGAAAACATGGAAACCGGTTACGGAGCGGTCACAAAATTAACGACACTCCGATAAATAGACCATGCGTGCATAAAAACATGCTCTGATGAAGCTGTTAATAGAGGTTACGGTGTGCTGATTAGAACTCGAGCCGACGGTTGGACGAATTACGAAGGTGCAACAATACTAAGCCCGTGCGATTTGTGCTCTTTGTTATTCCACGACCCACATATGGGAAATACTAAGAGAGCCCATCTACGCTTAACCGATACTAATACAAACATACGGTTAACTTTCTGCGGGTTCGCGAATGTTGAAGCTACCCGTCCGAGCGGTAAGGTTGCGTCACTGACTTGAGAAGTCACAATTATGACGCAAGGTCTCTTCCAACTCCAACCGCACTTACACTCTGATCAACGGCCCAGCTCGAATAACTTGGGAACCCCTAGTGTATAGTTAACGTTTGGTTTGCCTGTTTGTTGACACCGTATTATCAACAAAAATGTCGATCGGCTCCATGCTCGCATGATAGAAGAGTTACTCGGCGATCCCACTTACGGGACCGTAGGCGGTCGAATACAGGCCAGATAAGAGCAAACCACGGAGAGACTAATCGATGATATGCAAAAGCTTACTTTTAGGAGCTCACCAACAATCGAATCCATTGAGTCAATAATTTCACGTGTAGTCTTATTCCCCTTTTCTGTTGTGGCTTGCTGACGCACTACAACAGCGTAGCGCATCAAGTCAGGGGTAACACTTCCAAGCACCGCAGCAATGGACTGTCTAACTTGCTGAGTCTGTGTGGGAGCTGGATGTGTGACATCGGCACCAAACACCATAACGAGCTCGTCATTCCTCATAACATCGGTAATCTGCCAGTTGATCCCACCAAGCTTGCCGTTGATTTTCAGCAAAAGGTTAGCTGTAATGGAGTGAAATGTGAAAATGGGAACATACGGATCACGTTGGGTTTATCCAAGGTCCGACCTCTCACACACTGCGTTCTCATACCGGTTTGCAAATCGCCCAAACGCTTGATTGTCGGGTAGTTCAAGTCATCGTACAACACCAAGAGAATGAAGTGGATACCCTAGAAATAAAGAA